TCATCTTTGCATTTATGATCCACAGCTCCTTTTATAGCACCAAAAAGGTAAAGTGGCTTTTCAGGACCCCTCAACTTGTGATGCAGGAAAAGAAGAAAAATGAGGAGTTGAGAACAGGGTCAAGTCTGTCCCCACAGGCAAAATAAGTGGGTATACAAACAAAATAAATTCCATATTTTCTCCAGCCCTGGGAATCTGGAATCTGGAATTTGGAATCTGATGCACCAGCTCTGGGTAAGTGGGGCAACCTGCCAGAATGCACAGGCCTGAACAGTCTTTAAAAAAAAAAAAAATTAAGATGGGGTTTTGCTATGTGCCCAGGCTGGTCTTGAACTCCTGGGCTCAAGCCTAAACAGCCTTATCTTTGCATTTTCACGAAGATCTCTGAATGGATGGTAAACGTTTGCCAGACCAAATTAAATGACTTATTAGTGAGACAAGGCCTCTTCGTTAATTTTCCAAATAAAAATATCTTGCAGGTTTTAAGTAAGATTCACAAGCAGAGTACTAAAAAGTTTAACTACAAGATGTTCTTGTATGGTGTCATTTTCTTAAAATAGAACCCTCCTAAAATCTCCCAAAAATAAGTCTGCTGTAGTTTCATTTCATTTTCTAAGAAGGAGATAAACACATCAAAACACACACTTAGCTTCTTTTTTAAAGAGTCTCTGTTATATGGGACTCACAGATCAAAGTCTAAAAGGGCCAATTTCTTCACTTCAGAGGTCAATGACACAGCTTTGAAAAAGAGGAAAAACAGTCCCTCTAGTGTACTGGGGCTGTAGAATGAGGAAGTATATTAGTTGAGAATCACTGACGAAGACACTATTGCCAAAGGAAATTACAAAACAACATATTGGCAACACGGGCCAAGCAGACAGATTCTTCACACACGACCATAACTGGCCTTTTGGTGAGTTACTCCAAAAGGTGACTGAGGTCAAAATTATGAGCCAATGTGGAATTGTTATGACTTAGTCATTTTCAAATTAAAAAAAAATTTTAAACGGAGTTGCAGTTAAAATAACATTTTTCCTAACACAGTGTGTTGAAAAGGAACTGGATGTATTAATCTAAAGAACAGAAACAGTGAGGACATAAATAAGCATTATGTGACAGGACAGCCCTCATCTTTTTATCTTGGCAAGAAGCCTTAACAATACACATTCTTACATGAAAGAAGACTCGGACTCTTGAAGAACTATCCTCTGTAGCAGCAGCAGCAGAAATGTTAACACAGTATCCCCCACATTGGTGAAATTATGGGAACCACCACAGAAACTCAAGTCTGCCTAATTTGATTACGTCCTGACCCATGGGAAAAGCAGATGTGTGGTGTGTATAACGAAATAAGTGATAGATGGGCCTTACCAGGTAAGCCCTGGAGTCCTTAGAGATCTCCCCAAGACAAGAGGAACTGAGAGAATTCACTTGTTCAATTATGGGTGCAGTGCAAGCTTAATCTGAATTAAAGGAAATGTAACCTTTTCCCCTCTTAACCACATCTGATTATTCATTTCTACTTTAATGCCCGAGGTAAGGGAACCTGTGAGATAGCCATCATCCTTCTCCCTGACACAGTATCTGACAAATGTAAGTAAACCAAGGGCTTCCTCTTTTTGTTAAAATGCTATCCTTCTCACCTCTTTTATCACTTCATAGTTCCTAAGTACCCCTACTGACAGGCACTGGACAGTTATGCAAACATGATACACTCACTCAGCCTCCATCTACATTTGCCCATCCTTTTGATGCTGAAATAATAAGCAAGATGTTTTTAGATTGAGAGGCAAATATACCTTTCAGGAAAGCAACCTCTACTTATGTAAGACTATTCATTACCTAGTAAATGACCTTTAAAAAAAGATCAATTTAAAGAAGAAAATGGAGAACAAAAACCTCTAGAACTGTGGCTACTACTTACCTCTCTACTAACTAGCTGTGTAATCTTAAGAAAGTCATTAGCTTTTCCAAAAATCAGGTTCTTCACCAGTAAAATAAGAGGGTTGAACTAGATCAGGAAACTTCATCCTAACTATACATTAGAATCACCTAAGAAACTTTAAAAAAAAAAAACACACAAAACACAAAACCTTCAATGCTAAGCCACACACAACCCAAATTAAATCAAATTCTCTAGGTATTCGTATTTTTCAGAAGTTCCCAAGTAATTCAAACATGCAACCAGGGCTGAGAACCACTGGTTTAGATTCTGATCTCCAAGCCCTCTTTTCTAATTCTTTCATGTTATGACGTTAGGGTGACAATTTTGGTTACAAGGTCTCATAATGCAATGGCCCAAATAGCCTCAAAAGAAGTAAAGACCTGCGTGCCCTTTATGCACATATGACTAGGAGATGTTAACCTGAATTCTACACATTTTTGGAAGTTAAAAATCCTCTTACATTACTCAGAATGAAAGTAGTGTGGTTTAAATGCACATGCATGCTTCCAAAATGACTAATCGCGACAAGAATCAACTCCTAAACTTGGACACATGGAAATGGGTCACAATTAGCTCCTGACCTCTCTTCCTTTTCCCTCTTCTTCCACTAAACCACAAGTACAAAAAAAAAAAAGGTTGCCTATTAGTCATAATCAGAATATGAAACCAGCCCCAGTTTCAAAGGGCCTTCTCCATCATCAAAGATTTGAAAGTTCCTGCATGGCTGCATCTTTTGAAGATCTTATAAAAACTCTAACAAAATTATATCCCTTTAGCGGTCAAGGATTAGTTGTCATGTGACACTCAGAAATGTATTGGTAAAAAATTTTAAGGTAAAAAGAATCATAAAATGTGTGCCCTGTATTAAGCATATTAAGCCTCGAAAATTTCAATTTACAGTATTTTTAAGATTTTAGTTGAAGAAAAATGAGAGAGCAGAGAAGGGTAAAAGAAACCATGAGGCAAAAAAATGGTTATGATATAAAATCATAAAGTTTACGACTAGGCCCAAAATCTGTATTGCAAGTCCTACAAACTATATGAAAATGTAACTAGCCCAATCTCAATTCATGCCTACTTTTGGTAATACCATTTTCTCATGTAAATCTTCCTCCCCAAAATAAAATTCATTAAACTTATTATCTTTAACTATAAACACAATAACAAGAAATATTATTTATGAAATTAAATTTTTGTAACCTTAAAAATCACAGGAAAGGTGAAAACCTCTTCCTACATTAACTTTTTAACTAAGATAAAAGTTAACTAACTTTTCACCAACATATTCTCCTCACCAAATTCAAACATGCAAGACTAAATATCAAGAGAGAGAAATCTGAAAAATATTTCGAACCCCCAAATCCATGTTCTCAGATCCTGTCTGCTAACCCCTTCCTGATACTATACAGTGAGATTAACCATTCCCATCCCCTTGGAAACCCAGTTTAAAAAGATGTCACACTAGTGCTCTTTTCAAATGGAATTGTCTTTCATCCTTTCTGTAAAGAACTCTCATATCATACAACTGGCATTCTTTTATAAAGCAATTAAATTAGACCAAATATAAGACTCATAATGTTAGCATTTGTTAAAAGAAATGAGACAGATTTGTGGATTAATATCAAAGCACACGTGTTTTACTTTTGAAGTATCTAATACAAAGCCTCTCTGATACAAGCCGTATTTAACTTTGGACGAGTTTTCTAGAGGCAAAATAAAACATTCTCTACATTAGGTTCTTTAGCTTTTTCATATACAGGCTCATCTCCAGTGCTTCCATTGAATTCTCCACTAAGATTAAACTGTTCTTATTTTTATATCTCCTGAAACCCAGGAAAACAAGAAAGGGAAGGAGGAAGCAACTACTTTCACATTAAAAAAAAAAAAAAAAAATCTAAGCTAAATTGCAAATAGGAGCAGCTGATAAGAGATGAGTATCTCCAATTGCACAGGACTCTTTGGCCTGGTACTGACACATTACTGTCTTGGGGAAAGGGGTCAGGGAGGTGCCTAGGAAGAGCAAAGCAACTGGATATCAGCAGCCCAACAGGGGCAGAGGAGTTAATCTCTTTGGATACCCAACAGCAGGAAGTCATTACATCATAGGCCTTTCCACATCTCTCTCCCTACCACGTGTCCCGTGCCCCAAGAGGATGATAAGAAACGGTAGAGTCTCTCTTCGGGTTCATTTACAGGTAGAAGCCATTACGGCCCGGTCAAGCCCCCAAACCTCCTCCCAATCGCCAGAGTGAATGAAGCGCAGGTCCCCACACCAGAGCCCTTCCCTCAAACAGTGCCAGAGTCCGGGCCTCGGCGGGAGCAGACGGTGCAGCCAGTCTGGATTGAGGTGGCCAGATCGGCCGGTTCGAGGCCCCAGAACATTTCAGAAGCAGCTAGTAAGAAGCAGATTTACTGGAGCGACATCTCTGAGAAGGACAGGTATCAATACAGGCAAGGAAAGGAAGCCGTCCAGGAAGAGGTTTGCAACCACTGCTTTTTCTAATGGGATCGATGTGCCTGTAGGAGTTAACACCCACAAGCTGAAACTTGGACCCGAAGGTTCTCATTCAGCTAGTGACGACGCAACATGCTCCTGCGACAGACTGGAAACCACACATCCAACCCCTCCTCTGGACACTGCGTCCCAAACATCCCCCTACACACACCTCTCACTCCACCTACAGCGCCCGCACCAGACCCCCACTACGGTAAACTCTACTCCAAAGTTGGCTGCAGACCTACCTTCTCGGCGCTGTCCTGAGAATCCAGCAAATGTACTCCCGTCCGTTCGCCCTTCCCTCGCCGGCGTCCCCTGCCCCCTCTCCTCACCTGGCCATGCCCTAGGCCTCTGAGGAGCCTCCTTCCCCCCTCCGGGCCGTCCCCAGGTACCCCTACCACAGGAGTCAAAGAGAACACCCAAAGCCTCACAGTGAAGGCTCCCCCTGCCAACCCCTTGCCCTGGAGCCCGCAGGCGCGCTCCGACGAATCCGAGGCGCGTCTCGCGCTGCGCAGAAGGCCCGGCGGGTCGTGCCGCCAGCCCGGGGTGGGTACGCACCTTCCAGCCGGCAGAGCTGTTGCTATCGCCCTTATCCTTGAAGTAGGGCACGCAACGCACCATCCACTCGTAGATCTGGGAAAGAGTGAGCCGTTTGTCCGGGGAGCTTTCGATGGCGCGGGTGATCAGGTCCGCGTAGGACAGGTTTCCCCAGGCGTTCCGCCGCGACGAGCATTTCCTCGGCTGCCCGGAGCCCCCAGCCGCCCCCGGCTGCGGCGGTGGCAGCGGCTGCTGAGGCTGCAGCAGCGCCTGTGTACCCCCGCTCAGAGCGCCCGCCGCGGTGGCTGGCCCAGACCCGGGGTCTTGCCCTCCGGGTGCCAGCACCCGGGCCGAGTCCTCAAGGAGCAGCCCGGAGCCCAGCGTGCCGCTCCCGCCGCCGCCGATCGCCATGGCCGAGCCGGCCCGTCCCCCGCCGTCCTCGTCGTCTTCATCGTCCTCCTCCTCGGGGATCATGGAGTCGGCGGCCGTCTCCCCCGAGGGCTTAGCAGGGCTCGCTTGCAGCTCCGGCCTTTGCAGGGGCCACGTACAGGAGCGCGGACGGCTCTGGGGCTCGAACTCCGGGTCCAGCTCCACTTCCAGCGGAGAGAGCGGGGCCGGGGAGGCCGGTGCCTCTGCCATCTTCGCCGCCCGCCCGCGGCTGGGGCTCTCGCGCTCTCCTCTCGCGCCGGGGCGGGGTGCGGCGGGGGAGGGACGTGGGCGCCGCGAAGGCTCCGGCTCCCGGGCGCCGCTGCCGCCGCCGCCTGGGGAAGCACCAGAGGAGAGAGAAGGAGAGTTGGTTATCCCGGGCCGGAGCGCAGTCCTCGGCGAGTCCTCGCCCGTCGCCACTACCTCCCAGCCTTGCCGCGCCCGCCTCCCAGGAACAGGCGGACCTGGAGACGTGCGGCCAGCGAACCTGGCGCAGCAGACACCGCCCCCTGGCCAGGCCGCGGGGGAGCCGCGAGCGAATCGACGGCCTCGCGCGGGGCAGCCCCCTCCCCCCGCCGCCCAGCCGCAGGTCCCTCCCGGGCTAGGCGGCGGGGCGGGGAGAAGGGGGAGGGGCGCCCGGGGGAGGGGCGGCCGCGCCTTTAAAGCGGGCAGCGGCCGGAGCTGGCGCAGCCGAGCGGCGGTCAGAGCCCGAGCTCGGGCGTGCGTGCGTTTGTTTATGTTTCGCTCGGGCCCGCTCTAGTGCCTCCCGCGGCCCCGCCGCTCAAGTCTGTGCTGTCTTCGGCTCTTCTCCCCTTTCCCGGCCCAGCTGCCTCCGCGACCCCCCGTCACCCCCAACCCGGTCGAATGGCCCGAGCCCGGGGACTGCGCGGGCAGCTCCCTCTCCTCTCTTCGCCCGCGGGCCGGAGGGCGAACGGGGGTCTGGGCGCAGATGGGCCCTTGTCACTTCCAAAAAATAAAGGAAACACGGGAAGAAGGGGAAGCAGCAGCCCGGCGGGCGTTCGCAGAGGGTCGAGCCCGGCAGGGACGGCCACTTCGAGATTTTGTGTGGTTTGCATTCTCGCGGACGTCGTCCCCTCCGCCCCCTTCCCAGTCGGGATCCGGGGGAGGGAGCGAGTCGGAACATAAATCTTCCAACAGGTCGGGAAGCGCCAAGTCTCCCGGGCTGCTAGAAAACCCGGACCAGCATGTTCATCACCTCCTTGCTCCCGCTGCTGCCATCTTGACAGTTTCCCCCTTCCCTTGAGTCCTTTAAAAACACTAGCGGGCGAGAAGGGGGGCGCGCACACCGCGGCTCGGGGAGGGGAAAGGGAAGCGCCCGGCCCAGCTCGGAAGCAGATCCGGAGTCACCGGGAAGGCGGCCGCCCGCTGCACGGCTCCGGCGCCTACCTCGCTTCCTTCCCTTCAGGGACGCGGCGGGACGACGCACGATCCCGCGCGGGCCCGGGGCACGGCGAGGAGGGGGCGCGCAACCTCAGCGAAGGAGAAGCGCTCGGGCCGTCGCCGCAGCCCGCCCGAGGAACCGCCTGTCAGCTCGCGCGCCGCCGCCTTCCACATTCCTCCTCCTCCCTTCCACGAGCAGGGCGGCTGCAGCAGCAGCACAAAGTTATAGACACACGCAGGGCGCCTCAACCTAAGCTGACGGCGGGCGGGCGGGTCCCCGCCCAGGGGGAGGGCTGGGCGGCGGACCGGGCGCGCGGCGGGCGTGCGTGTGTGAGTGCGCGTGTGTGAGCTCGCGCGCGCCTGCGCGGGCCAGCTCCGCGGGACTGCGGGCGTGGGTGTCCGGGCGCGCGCCGTGGGCCGGGATTCGGCGGGCTCCCGCTGCTGTCCCCGCTGGGCTCCTCCTCCCTCCCGAGAGCCCCAACGACAACAAAGCGCGGCGTTGGCCCGGGAGAGGAGGGAGAGGAAGGAGAAGGGGGAGCTGCAGGAGCGACAGCCTCCGACGCTCCAAGGAGCGCAGCGGCGTGGCCTCCCGGACTCCGGGCAGGGCGCCTGGTACCAGGGTCCCCGACCTGCGCGTCCGCCCGCCAGGCTCTGGGCCAGCCCCGGTGTCCGGTTCCCTGTTAGAACCCGACACTAGGTAGCACCCGAGGTGAGATGCTGGGCGTGGATGGCAAGGTTTACCGCGGCGTGGAATACTGAACGGCGAAGATGTTGGCGCCTGCACAACTTCGATAAGCTGATGCTCACAGATTCGATCAGGCACCGAAAGGTTTGCACTGAATCTCTCGCCTCGGACGGTGGACCACAGTCGTGTTTCACTTTTCATGTGTTTCATGGCAAACGGGGGAGAGGTGTAACTAACTCCGAAGAAATGCAAATTTACCCCGTCCTACATTCAAGAGCAGATTCCGAACAATTGAGAAGGGGAAATAATTTTAATCTAATTTGTAAATGACGACAAAACCGCTACGTGTGCATTTTTGACTTTTAAAAAAAGACGTATCCTTTAGGTTAAACAAAAAGCATCTGCACAAGTCCTTATTCTACGATCCGTGCCCCAAATCGTTTATTTGTACTCTACGAATGCACACCAAAAGTCTAGACACTAGTTCATAAGTATCTTTTTAAAAAAAATCCTTGTAAGTCACCAGGCTCAGAGTCTAGAAGCGGGCTCCTCAACGACCCCATACACAAAAAGGTCCAGCCCAGCGTACACAGGAGCCAGCCCGCCCCGCCGCCTCCGGGCTCCGGGCTTTGCACAGCGCCCGTCACTCAAACGACGCGCGGCCCCGCCCCTGCACCAAGCTAGTTCGACGCGTACAAACAGATGATGTCATTGTCTCCACACGCGCGTGACCCCGGAGCTCTCCGCCGCGTCGCCATTCGCTGCGCGGCTTACTCGTCAAGGCACGCCGCGTGCTGACTGGCCGCGGCTACCAGTCTCCAGGCCCCAGACGCCCCTCTCCGCCCCCCGCCCCCGCCCCCCAGCAAATAATAAACAATCGAGTAAAATTCTAAGGAAGGAGAGAGAGGAGAGGGAAAAAGGGAGAGGGCGCACTAGAAACCAATCCTTCGCGCGCTGGCGGTGGGAGGGCTCAAGGGGGGACGCGAGAAGACAGCAGACGGGAGGAAGGGAGCCTGGGACCCTGCGGCCACCGGCGACGAGGAGGCGTCGGGGACGGAAAGTTGCAGCGCACTCGACTGGGCGCGCCTGGTGGGGTAGGGGGCACTAGGGCCTGGAGCGGCTGGGCTGGGGGCTCGTGGGCGGGACGCGACCAGCCGAGGGGGCGGGGACTGAGCGGCGCCGGCCGACACGTGCGGGAGGAGGGCGGGCGCGCGCGCCGCACACGCTGGGCCCGAGCGCGCGGCCTCGGTAGCCGCGCGCGCTTGTTTACCAGCGCACGTGGGTGTTATTTTTAAATGGAATGTGGCGCTGGCTGCGCTGCCGAGTGGCGGGCGCGTGGGGCCGCCCGCGCTGGCTGGGGGACGCGGCGGGGCCCGCGGCGCGGCCTCTCCGGGCGCTGCTCGCGAGACAGCCAGGCTGTCCTCGCTGCGCGCCGCTGGCGTAGCCGGCGGCCCGGGTCGGGGAATCTGAGAGTTTCGCGCGCTGCCCGAGCCGCGGCGGAGACGACAGTTTCCCGCCGCGGAACGCCGCAGTCTTTGCGCCCAGCTCGGCTCTCGCATTCACATTCAGGGAACAAAGCCTCCTGCTTGTGCTTCGCCCAGGAGGCCGCGCCAGTCCGCAGCCACGGTTTCTGGAGCAGATCTCACACGCGCACACACTCACTGGCACACATATTTTGGCCGCGAGAGGGACCCTCAGCACCCTACGTGCTCTGTGTCCTCGCTTCCTTGTACCGAATTCCCCCAGTCAACATGTGCCTGTCTCGTGGACATGCGGCTGTGCCCACTAGAAATGCGCTTTTGCTATTTCGGGTTGCCCTTGGAAGGGGAAGTCTGGGGAAGGGGTCTCTGACTGCTTACTGCGATTGCTCCTCACGAGGCACCTCTCCTCTCCTTGTAGGCCTGTCCCACTGAGAAGCCCTGAGTTTGCATTTGGTTTACAGCCTGGGAGTGTGGACGGTGATGTACGACCACAACTCGGCTTCAAGTGCCAGTGCTTGGGGTACAGGTTGGGTATGGTGGTGGTTAAAAGCTGGTATTGAGCTTTGCACGAAGAACTGAGAGGCTAGATCACCCAGGGCCGCGCATCGTGATGCAGCATAAAATTCCAAGAATTTTCCGTTGCTGGTTTAAATACTTATAACACTGTAGAAGAAATCCACGCGTTTTATTCTCTAAATTTAAGCGATCTTTTGTCATTAGAGTGCAGACCTGCAAAAGTAGAAATAATGTGTTTACAGTGGCTGGGCTCTCAGCCATTAGATTTTCACTATAAACATGTTGAGTGTCCATTTACAGAACGCATATCCCAGGGGCATTCCAAAAGAGTGGAAGAGTCAAAGATTCAGTAGATTAGCACAGCATTGTGAGCTTCACAGTGAGGAATGGGGGGGCGGGGGGCAGGCACATGATAAAGCCATTTCCCTTGAAGAGCTTACTTGAGGGTATAAGACATGTTAAAAAGAAATTTTGCAAGTTTAAAAATAGTAGAAGGCGGGGTGCAGTGGCTCACACCTGCAATCCCAGCACTTTGGGAGGCTGAGGCGGGAGGATGCCTTGAGCCCAGGAGTTCGAGACCAGCCTAGACAACGTGACGAAAACCGGGTGTCTACAAAAAATACAAGAAGTCCCAGCTATGGGAGGCCAGGGTGTAAGGATGGATCGCTTGATTCCAGGAGGTCCAGGCTGCAATGAGCCATGATTGTACCACTGCATTGCAGCGTGGGTGACAGTGAGGCCCTGTCCTCCCTTCCCCACCACAAAGGAAAACAAAACAACAACAACAACAAAAAACAGTAGAAGACAAATTCAAGAGGTCATATGTAGAGTGTTGGGTAAGTTTCAAGTGAATTGAAGATCAAAAGCTTCATTTGGAAGTGACTGTAAACTTGCAACTTTGTAAATGTGCACCTTACCCTTGTAATTCGTGCATATGGGCAAAACTTTGAAAACTCAGAGGTTGAATCTCAGAGATTGTTCTCTTTTAGCCACAAATTGCCTTGACCTTTGCCTTCCTCTTGTATGCCTCCTTGTTCCTTCTGCATTTCTTCCTACCAGAAGTTATGGTGGTTAATTGAGAGGAAATGCCAGCATTCCCTTCAAGGCAGAATTTTTGGTCACAACTTTTCCCACCTCTTATTGAACAATTTTATGCCCTATTTATTTCTATTAATAATTTAAGGTGGTGCTTGTTCACTCTATTTTGCAAATCCAGTCACTGGAGGGACAAAATTTAAGATGTTTACCTAAGTAAGCTGGGTAAAATCACCATTTCAAACACCTAGTTGTGAGGGTACGTGGTAGAGGCCAGGGCTCTCCCTCTGAGGGGGCACCACTCACTCAGCACCTGTATCCTAGCCTAGTTCTCCTTGCACCTAGGCCAGCTGGAGCCTCCCTCTGACCCCAGAGCCCACATTCTAGGAACTGAGCCTACTGCTCTTCAGCAAGTGCACATTTTCCTCTTGGGTTGACTTCTGTGTCCATCTCAATGAAGACAGGAAACCAGTAGGACGACGTTCCTAACGAATATGTGACCCATCTGGTATAACTGCTCCCCAGTCTATGTCTGACACCCTCATTAGTCCCTTTCTCTGCTTACCCTCTCCTCAGCAAATTACTTTCATGCAGTGTGTCTTTATTGAATACTGTGTACCAAAGAGCTATGAGCTGAGGCTCGCCCCTTGGGGCATCATTCCAGACAGGTTTCATCACCATGCTCTCCACAAGTATCTGCAGCTCTTGTCCTCTCTCTTCCCCTTTCTTCCCTGGGCATGACAAACCCTGGCAAAGCGTCCTCTAGGTTGTTACAATGACTGTCTGTGGTGCATTTGGAGGGTAAGTATGTATGCTTTCAACGTAAAAAAAAGCCGGAGTTCCACAAAAGAGTGAATATTTACCTGAAATGGAATTGGATAGAAGAGAAATTGGGAAGAATTCTCTGTTTTGGTAATAGGAGGTAATGATACTTGTCATTACCCAACCTTGAATTGTCAATAAGTTGCAGGTCCTGAACTAAGCACTTTATTTGCAGTGCTTAGACCTCACAAAGACCATGTGAGGTACATAAAATAGTGCTAAGTGGCATGGGGGGTTAAGAATTCAGGCTCTGAATTAAGTCTGATTCCTCATTTGCCAGCCATGTGACCTTCGGATGTTACTTAACCATGGAGCCTCAGGTCCTCATCCTTAAAATGAGAATACCTTCTAAGACTGTTGGAAGGATTGGGATAATTGAAATTATGAATCGAAAGCACTTAGTATTAGAGTACTAGGGAGTGCTTTAAAAATAGTCATGCCCAGGCTCCACCTTGGACCAACAGAATTAGAATTTCTGAGGGTAGGGTCGGCATTGATTGATTGATTGATTGTTGTTATTGTTGTTTTTAAATATTTGCCAGGTGAGTCTAAGGCAGTGAAGGTTAAGAACCCTGAGATAGAGGTCTTTCGCACACGCCAGTGTTTGCCTTCAGCTCTGACTCTCTGGTTCCTGCTTAGAATGAGGACAGAGCCATTAACTGCCTACACACAGGGGGCAACTTCCATACACAAAACATCTTGGTTTATTTCTAGAACAACCTACCCCAGCAGGGACCATCCTTCTCCTTTTACCAGGATTTGCCTCAGGTCACACAGTGAGTGGCAGGCCTAGGATTCAAACTGATGATTCTGAATCCATGGCACATTCTCCTGCTCCCCAACACTGCACTGCCTCTCCAAAACGGGCCTGAAGAAAGGGGGCTTTATTTGAGCCTTTTGGCCTAGAGAAAAGGGCCTGGAACCAGATAAGCAAACATAACCCGAGACACTTCCCCAACCTGTCTAAAGCTAGTGGTTATCTGGCCAAATCTGCCCCAATAGGGTTAGTTTTTGGTTCTCTCCGGTATTTTTCAAATTTTTCCTCTCTTGAGGTCAGGAATTCAAGACAAGCCTGAGCAAGATAGCAAGACCCCCATCTCTAAAATCTTTTAAAAGTAGCTAGGTGTGGTGGCATGCACCTGTAGTCCCCCAGGTGCTTGGGAGGCTGAGGTGGGAGGATCACTTGAGCCTAGGAACTCAAGGCTGCAGTGAAATATGATTGTACCACACTGCACTACAGCTTGGATGACAGAGAAAGACTCCATCTCTTAAAAAAAAAAAATTTATTAGTCTGTTGCCAACATTTAAAAGGAAGAGATTTCACCTAAAATTTGGATTTCTAGTTCTTCTTGAGAAGAAGATATGGTAACACTGGCCCTGTACCCACAGGGCAACAATTAGCTGGTATGTGCTCTAGTTAGTTCACCTTTTCATCATCAGCCTCTGTCCACTGATCTCTGGGTGACTTAGCTACCCTGATTTGTATCTTCTACCTCCACAGTGGCATTGACCCACTCCAGTTCATGAGAGACGACTGTGCACATCCCTTGGTAGTTTGAAATGGACTATTACGGGAGTATTTACACAACAGAAATTGGCAAATACTAACCATCAAGGCTTGCTTGCTTTTTTTTTCTTTCCTTTACTTCTTTCGGAGGGCCAGTCTGCCAGCACACCACTGCCCCTACTCCACTCAGCCACGGTCTTGCATTCTGAGGAGGAAGATTTGTTCTGAATAGAAAGTAAAGGAAACAGAAGCACTGGAGAAACTGTACCTCGATTCTGCTTAGCAACTGATTATACATTATCTAACCTTGTTTTTAAAGTACTTCAATTTAACACAATGGAGCAAATAACCAGAACAAACTTCCTGATGAAAACTAAAGCTGGATAAGATTTACAAATTTTTTTTTAATGTATTTTATTGAGCTGGCAAAAAAGCAAGAAACCCAGAGAGACCAAAAACAAAGTTAAGGTGGGAAATGAGCACACTCCTAGAAAATCTGACAAACAACATTTGAGCTTCTACTTTGACAGGTGTGCAGAGTCTGGGACACAGAAGATAAATCCTCATTCTTGTCCAAGATCAGGAGAATAAGAAGACTCTACCCTCTAAAACCAGGAGTCCAAAGGGCCAAAGGAAAGGTGAATGTGAAATTAACCTGCTGTGCAGAAGAGGATCCCAGGAAAAATCGTCTGTCTTGATCAAAGTCCTGAATAAAGGAGTATAAAAAATTGTCTTCCTTAAGAATTCATAACTATGGTGTGGTCCATAGGAAATATTATGTCCCAAATTCATGATACCATGGAATTATTTTAAAAACTTCATGAGCCCCAGTTTGTGGTGCTTTTAACAACTGGCAGAAGGAAAGACACGTCCTCTTGGAGGGCTATCTTGAACCTAGGCCCCAAAGAATTTCCATAATCATAATCAGAAAACACAAAACATATAATAAGCAAGGCTCCATGTAAGAGCAGACAGAAACAAAATATAAGGTCAGATACACAAAGGCTTGGGTATGAGAATAAGCTGACACAGAAAATAAGTGTATCTAATAGGTTTAAACAAATAAAAAGGAAGTTTGAAAATAGAAGAAAGGAACAAGAGTCTATAAAAAACAACTGAGTAGATTTGAAATCAGAATACTTCTTTGTTTTTTTCCCAACTAGATATTATGTCCTTGAAGACACAGGGATCAGGCTAAACACTTTATATATCATTTGTCAATTGAAGGAAGTTAGAAACAAACTACTCAATTTTTTTTTTTGAAACCCAGCAGTAAGAATGAGAGTTGTGACTAAATTTTTAAAATGTAAATGTAAAAACTCCTGTTGGAAATTCCAATCAATCTCTTCTAGAGGAAAGGAAGACAAACTAAGAATTAATGCAATGCTTCTGGCTGACTGGCCTCCAGCAAATGGCATTGAGCTTTGTAAGTGGTCCATCTACTCTGTTTCTCATCTTGCAAAAACTTGTGACGTGAGCATGTGTCCATGTCCACCTGTGAGACAATCTATTTAAAATGTCGGCTGGGCGCAGTGGCTCACGCCTATAATCCCAGCACTCTGGGAGGCTGGGGCAGGAGGCTCACTTGAGGCCAGGAGTTCGAGACCAGCCTGGCCAACATGGTGAAACCTCATCTCTACTAAAAATACAAAAATTAGCAGGACTTGGTAATGCATGCCTGTAATCCTAGCTACTCGGGAGGCTGAGGCAGGAGAATCACTTGAAACTGGGAGGCAGAGGATGCAGTGAGCTGAGGTCATGCCACTGCACCCCAGCCTGGGCGACTGAGCAAGACTCTTAAAAATAAGTACATAAATAAATACAATGCCTAGTAATTGGAACTTTAAATACAAATTGCTTTAAAACATTGATGTGGGACGGGCACAGTGGCTAATGCCTGTCATCCCAGCACTTTCGGAGGCCCAGGCGAGCGGATCATGAGGTCAGGATTTCGAGACCAGCCTGGCCAGCATAGTGAAATCCCGTCTCTACTTAAAATACAAAAATTAGCCGGACATGGTGGCAGATGCCTGTAGTCCCAGCTTCTTGGGAGGCTGAGGCAGGAGAATTGCTTGAACCCGGGAGGTGGAGAATGCAGTGAGCCAAGATTGCGCCACTGCACTCCAGCTTAGGCAACAGAGCGAGACTCCATCCCTGCCCCCCCTAAAAAAAACTGATGTGATACTTCAAAGAAAGCAAGGCCATGTGGAACCATTCATTACTCTGCAGAATACATTGCATCTCCCTGGTTTGGCTCGGCATGTCCACTTACGTGTAAAGTTTCCTGGAATAACCTGGTACTAAAGCCCCCCAAAGGATGTGATTTGGGGCTCCAGGGACATTAAATCTGATTATTGTTCCTCCCACAGCCATATCTAGAAATGGAGTAAACTGTGAAACTGGAAGACAGCTGAGGAAAAATAAAATGTTTGGGAAATTTTGCAATTCTGATGTAAACATCAGTCTAAAATTTTCAAGCTAGCAAGTTATGAGGCCTGTGCGCACATGACAGCAAATGTTGGCATAAAAAACTGCTAAGTAAAGGAACTACCAGAAAGCTGACCAGAAGGAGGTTCCTTCAGGGTGGTGTACCCAGGAGGGCATGGAACCTCCAAGCCCCTTCCCTTATACCTTGCCCTCTATATCTCTTCTTCTGTATCCTTTGTAATATTCTTTATAATAAACCTATAAACCTCTAGGTGAGGACACACGTAGAGTGCCCAGGGAAGGCAAAGGCTCCAGTGATGTAGAAAATACTGTAGGTCCTGATATTAGGACAGTGTAAATGACCCTGGTTGACAGTGTAAATGACCCAGTAGGGAGTCAACAAGAACATCAACTAATAGCAGGGGCACAGAATGAAGCAAAGAAACAAAGAAATGGAGTTAAACGACAATCCTCAGCCTTGCAAGGCCTCTCCTGCCCCTGTCAGAAGACAGTGGCACCCGTGGAAGACTGTGAGTATGGGAGAAAGGCAAGTCCCATGGACCGATGGGGAACCCTTTGCTCTCATTTCTCCAGCTGTATTGGGCTCTGTTTACCTGTAGACAAAGAAAGAAAAAGTGAAAGAAAAGTACCAAGTCAAGCTACCACAGCCACTATACAGATAGTGTATTTGAGTCTGAATGCTATCCATTAGCGATGGTTAAACTGTCTCAGAAGAAAATTTTTCCTTTGTTGGAGGAAATTTTCTCTCAGTTCAGGTCCTGGTTGAGCCCTACTTGGTGGTCTCTCAGAGAAGGGGTCCTAATGGTGTTAGTGGGACAAGCTTATGAGGCTTTGTCTTCCCACTCCAAGAGATGGTGTCCAAGTCATCTGGCCTGAGACCATTGGAGTTTTCACCAGAGAAATGGTTTTGGCTGGAGGTCAGATTCACTTTCCTTAGAGAGCAGCTCTGCTCCACGTGTCAGAAAGGCTTACTTCCACTCCTTTCCCACTCCCTGGCATAGTTCACATTCCTTTAATATCCCATATCTGTGTCTCCTTAGGGGCTCCTTGTGCTCATTTCTGGAGAGACAGCTGAAGCCACCAAAATAGGTGACAAAATCACTAAGTGAGACATCTGTGAGGAGGAAGTCTCCAGGCCTTCAAACACAAGTTATTTTATGAAAGCATAACATCTGAACCTCACACATTCACACAGTATCAAGAGTCCTTTTGCAACTTCACTTCTCAGATGTATAATCTGAAGGGGTTTTTTTTTACACTTAAAATGACTTTTATAAAATCTGTATTTTGGAAACAAATAATGAAGCCAAGTGAGTAATTCCATAAACAAACACAATCCCTGCGGTCTTATTTAGGGAACTTGACCAAATCTGGTCCCTTTCGGCCAGGCCTTCCTATTCTCTGTGGAAAGTGAAACCCCTCTTGGAGTTTCTGGGGATATTGCCATCTGGTAAAAAGATGAGGTTTGAGCTTGGCCCTTTCTTTTCACTTGTGCCATGAAAATATTAACGTCTTATTGAAGAGGGAGTGGGTTGTCATGACAACCATGACCAGTAGGGTCCATGTGACCTATGTGGAGCCTGGGAACCAGAGAGGCTGTGGCCTGCACAGGCTCGCCTTTCTTCAGTGGATGGGCAGCAGAATAGGGCTACGGGAAATGTCAGTGGCCTCAGAAACCACTGTCAGCAGTCCCCCAGATCTGATAACTCTGGGTCAAGTGGCAAAATCAGGTTTCTTTACTTGCTAAATAATCAGATCTGAAGAAAACTCCTGGCAGAAGAATTCCATGCGGCCCAGTCCAAAAGAGGCAGCCATTTTGACCCATTTCCCTCTTATAAACTTGATATTATAAAAAAATTATTGTTGTCAAACTAATTGATCCCCAAGTGAACAATGAGAATTGCATTCCTTTCACAAAAGTATAAAAACTAGTTTGTCTGTACATGTTTTCAGTTAGTCCCTCTCCACTTTTTCACAATTGTTGTACATTAATATTGGAATTAGACCAGGTCAAAATTCATAGGTCATGTTGCTTAATTTCTGCATTCAAGAAATACTCAGAAGATGAAAATGTTAGATGGCTTGGAAAATTCTGTCTAGAACTCTTTAATATCCTACCTAGTGCTACTTCATTCTCTCATATGTAAAAAATGTTTATTAACCATGCATCTTTCAACTTATCCAAAATGAAACACATATTTTATAAAACACTTATATTTTTTACTTGTCCCACATCTATGAGGATGGTACTTCTGTCTCCTTCTTCAGCATATACATGTTTTTTTCACTTTTTATCAAGAAATATGCATATAGGCCTGGCTCAGTGGCTCATGCCTATAATCCCAGCACTTTGGGAGGCTGAGGTCGGTGGATCACTTGAGGTCAGGAGTTCAAGACCAACCTGGCCAACATGGTGACCCCTGTCTCTACTAAAAATACAAAAATTAGCTGGGCATGGTGATGGGCACCTGTAAGCCCAGCTACCCAGGAGCCTGAGGTGGGAGAATTGCTTGAACCTGGGAGGCAGAGGTTGCAGTGAGCAGAGGTTGCGTCACCGCACTCCAGCCTGGATGACAGAGCAAGACTCCGTCTCAGAAAAAAAAAAAGAGGAAAAGAAATACACATATAGAAAACTGAAAAACATTTATGTTAACAGTACAGTTTAATGAATTATTATAAAGAGAACAACCAAGTGTAACTATCACCCAGATCAGGAAATAGAACATTACTAGTCCCCTATAAATCCCTGGAGTGCCCTTCCCCATCAAAACCATCCTCTCAACTCGGTGCAGTGGCTCACACCTGTAATCCCAGCACTTTGAGAGGCCAGGTTAGGAGTATCACTTAAGCCCAAGAGTTCAAGGTTGCAGTGAGCCGTGATGGTGCCACTGCACCAGCCTGGGCAACACAGCAAGACCCTGTTTCCAATTAAACAACAAACCCCTCTTCTCTCTCCCTAAAAGTAATGATTTTCCTAACTTTTGTGGTAATCATTTCTTTGCTTTTCTTTATAGCTTGCTGTGTTTGCATCCCTAAACACTGTAATCTCATTTTTTTTCCTGTTTTTGATCTTCAAATGAATGGGATCACACTGCATATGTTCTTTTGTGTCTTGCTGATGCTTCTCAATATTATGTCGTGAGATTCACCTATATTGCTGTGTGTTGCTGTAGTTCATTCATTTTCATGGCCATATGATAGTTCATTATAGGAATAGTTTTCTATCTCTAATCTATAATAGTTACTTTGTCGATCTATTCTAATGTTGATGGCTAATTGGGTTA